CAACCTAATAGCAGTGGCCTCCAACCTACTAGCGATGGCCGCCAACCAAATAGCAGTGGCCGCCAACCTAATAGCAGTGGCCTCCATTTAGTGGAAGTAGGTTGGAGGCCACTGCTATTTGGGTGGAGGCCATTGCATGCGGCAGCATGCGTTGATGTGATTTTTCTCCCCCGCTACTAGGAAGAAGTGCCACGCTACTAGAAACAGGTGCCACGCTACTAGAAACAGGTGCCACGCTACTAGAAACAAGAATGAACATAAATTCAATTAGCACTTGTTACTACTAGCGAACCTTGTTACTACTAGTAAGGCACTTGTTACTAGAAGCGATGCACTTGTTACGACTAGCTTTTCTCACCCGCTTTTTACAGGAACTGGAGACCAAGAGGGCCCGGACCAGGCGATCGGAATGGGCCGGGCCTTGGATGGTTGGATTCCTCGGAAAAGCACCGGAAACCGGTTGCAATTGGTCCAACTGTCCGGCGGATGTGTCTTGGGACTTTGGGAAGGCAAGCTTGGGGGTGGGTATCCAAAAGGCTTGCATGAAACGCGTTTTCTTTTCTGTGGCTTAGAATTCAAAGTTGCTTAATACTTGGAACAATGATATCACTTGAAGGCTACACAGCAGGCGTGTTGTTGTTGCTGTTGGTTCGCCTTCGAAGGAAACCTTCCGTTTGGGGTCGCCGGTGATGTAAATAGACATGGGTGCCGTTAGCACTCGGACCGTGTGATCACAAGCCTTCTGGGAGGCCAGATGATATCGCTCCAATTTTCTTTGCTCTTTCGGCTTCAAAACGGTGCCCGGTTTCACCAGGCGCGGCGCAGCGGAGCCGGGCCCTTTGAATTGTGTGCAGTCGGCCCGGGAGGCAGCGAGGCGAGAGGGAAGAGTCGGGAGAGTTGATGTGACAGTAACAAGTGCCACGCTACTAGTAACAAGTGCCTTACTAGTAGTAACAAGAAGCTACTAGGGGCTCCTGGCCTTACTACTAGGAGCAAAGAGCATCGCTACTTGGAGCAAAGGGCATCGCTACTAGGAGCAACACTCAAACCAAATCCAGGAATCAAATCATTAGCGTGAGCTCTCCCGCGTCCTACCTAGGAGCTTCCTATTCCTAGCTTACTTCTCCCTTACTTTGGGAGCGGGCAAAGAAGAGAACAAAATCAAGGATCGAGATGGAATTGATGGATCAAGACCATCAAAAAAGGAAATACAATCAAGAAAGGTTTTCAACAACTGGTTTTCAGTTTTCCAGTTAGCTTCCGAAGCACATTTTCTAACAGGGCTTTGCTCGATTCTCGTAGGGCTTTGCTCTACGGCAGAGAGCCAGAGGCGCAACACATCGGCAACCTCCGTCTCCCAACGGACGTTGTTTGGGGAGGAATATGTCAGACAGATTCAACAGAATAGCGTCCTTGCTCCTTAGTAGCGATGCCAGGAGCCCCTAGTAGCGTCCCATCGCTCCTAGTAGCGATACCCTTTGCTCCTAGTAGTAAGGCCAGGAGCCCCTAGTAGCTTCTTGTTACTACTAGTAAGGCACTTGTTACTAGAAGCGTGGCACTTGTTACTATGTCTGAATACTGCTCGGAATCCCGAGAAATCACACGTTTTGCCTCAAAGGCTTGGGATTTTGTTGGAGATGAAGGTTTGCCGTCGTCATTTTCTGGAAAACCTGAAACACACCGACTTTGTTACTACTAGCGTGGCACTTGTTACTACTAGCTTCTTGTTACTACTAGTAAGGCACCTGTTACTACTAGCTTTAGAGTATTCTTGAAGCAGCTGTTCGGCGACTGGTGAGGCGCCCAAGAAGGCCTTTGTGCATCCCATCTCCGAGCGGATCAAGCGGTGCGGATGTCGAGTGTGCTCCACTCGTACTAGCGATGGACTGTAGCGATGTTTTGGGTGGGAGGTGGGGTGTATAGTGTCACTTGAAGCTGTGTCTGTGGCCAGCTTGGAGTCTGTGTTTGTAGCGACATGACACAATTTAGTTTCTATGGGAGTGGTTCAGACCGTCTTTTCCTCAGAAGCCTAACCCAGGACCCCAGCCCTGCCCTATCTGACCCTCGAAATCCTTTGGTCTCGCCCATCGCGAAGGTCCGAAGTTGGAGACGTCAAGGACGACGAGGACGAGGACGACGATGGACGTCGAACCACCGAGAGCAGGGAGCCAAAGGGAGCCATAGCGTCAGGGAAGATCCGCTATTAATGGAGGCCATCGTTAGTAGGTTGGAGGCCATCGCTCTTAGCTTGGAGGCCATTGTTTTCAGGTTGGAGGCCATTGCTCTTAGGTTGGAATTAGGTTTGAGGCCATTGCTATTGGGTTGCGATGTTATCATATATTTTTGTGAGTAGCGTCCTTGCTCCTAGTAGCGATGCCCTTTGCTCCTAGTAGCATCCTTGCTCCTAGTAGTATGGCCAGGAGCCCCTAGTAGCTTCTTGTTACTAGTATTGAGATTGCTATCAGGTTGAGGCCATTGCTATTTTTGTTTATTATATATTTTTTCGCTCAGAGATGGACTCAGTCGTGATCTGTCCAGACACTGAGGTTTTTTCCACGCGCTGCGCACGGCGGACTTCCGCAGCTTGGTGGCAGCGCGTCAAACGAACGCAGCTCCGGGGATAGGTCAATCAGGTCAATGATGGTCAATCAAAAGGATCATGACTGGTGAAAGAGATGGGTCCAAAGGAGACTACTCTCTTGGCCTGTCAATTGCGGGTGGTGCACTTGCACATCTTTGGGGTGATGATTTATGACCCGCAGCTAGATGGCTTATGGCATACTTATGGCTTGGATTGGAGGTCACCAGGTCAGCAGCTTCAACTTGTGGATTCGGATAGAGGCTGAATCAGATTGCTTTTGCGTCCACCTTAGAGGTCGTTTGCTGTTTTTTTTTGGAGGGGGCAGAGCTGGGCAGTGTAGTTGGTTTCCTGCCCTAGGCAAGGTGGTTGACTTGGTGGAAGAGGCTGGACCGAATTGCGCGGGTGTTCCTTTTCGAAAAGGGAAAAAGGAAGGTCTGCTTTTTGTTTGGCCTTTGGAATTTCCTAGTAGCTTCTTGTTACTACTAGTAAGGCCCTTGCTCCTAGTAGCGATGCACTTGTTCCTAGTAGCTTTTTGTTTGGCCTTTGGAATGCATTTGGAAGTTCCGACCTGATCCATGGAGTCTGATGCCCTCAGAGCTAAAGCGATCAAATCTCAGACTCCACGACTGACACTTCATGAAGCAACACACCCTCCGACCCCCAATTCCGATGTTCAAACGCAAAAATCATTACAAAGACGCTACGAACGGGTCTCCTGGCCTCACTACTAGGAGCAAGGACGCTACTAGGAACAAGTGCATCGCTTCTAATA